GCAGTTTTTAATTGGCAAATAATAACTGAATATATTTATTGGGTAAAATGTGAAGTTTTGATATATGTATACCCTGTAGAAAGATTAAATCAAGCTAAGTAACGTATCTATCACATCATCTACTGATTTTTTTTGTGGAGAGAACGTTTAAAATCTACTCTTTTAGCAATTTTGAAACATACATTATTATTCTGACACATGCTACAACATGGATGAACCTTGAGGACATTATGCTATGTGAAAGAAGACAGACACAAAAGACCAAATATGGCATGATTCCACTTACGTAAGGTACCTAGAATGGGCAAATTCTTAGAGACACGAAGTAGAACAGAAGTTACCAGGGTCTGGGGGAAAGGGAGTGAATGGGAAGTTTACTTCATGGGTACAGAGTTACTGTTTGGAGTGATGAAAAAGTTCTGGAAATGAATAGTGGTGATGGTTATGTAACACTGTGAATGTACTTAACACCACTTGAGTACATTCAGTTATACTTATGTACATGCACAATACACTTATACTGAATTGTATACCTACAAATGGTTAAAATAGTTTTATGTTATGTATGTTTCACTGAAAGAGAGAGAGAGAAACCAAAACCAAAACCAAAACCAAAACAAAAAAACCCCAATGATCTTTTCTGACCCTTTAACAGTTGAAATTCTAGTGAAGTCTACCAGCATCACAGTTTAAGACTGAGGGATTCAGTAAAATCACCTCCTTATTATTCTTTAATTGCTAACTATGACTCAGCATTTTTTCTAGACTTCAGAACTGCAACACCTCAGAAGAATCCCAGTTAAGGGCTAGATTTGCAGCAAGGTGCTCATATTCTCCTATCAGAGTCCTCTATTTAGAAATTTCTCAAGTTGGTTTTTCCATAACCAGTCACCCTTCAAAAGGAGGTAAGTGGCTTTCCCACATGTAACAGACGTAGTACTTTAAAGCAAGCAAAAAAACAAACAAACAAAAAACCCCAAAACTTCTCCAAGAACAAACACACACTGGTTTCCTTAAAGCTGTGCTGCAATAGCAGTCTTGTGACACCCCTTCCAAGCATATAATGAAGGTGTCGTAATCACTTTATTTCCCCATTTGGATGGCAGTCCTTAACCAACTCTGCTTCCCAGCAAAACCTCTGAGCTATAAAATCAAATTTAGAGGAACTACATTTAAACTTCATAATAGTTATACTAAGATAATTGTTTCAACTTCTGGAACAAGGCCTCTCTTCCTGAGGCAAACAGCAGAATGAATCCAATCGTCAGCCAGATGGAACGTGTCTGGAATGGAATACTGTCACAGGAGAACTCAGGTATCCAAAGCTCATCTGAAATGAAGAGTGCCCCTCCTACCACCACTGTATCTGCAGCACTCATCAGAAAGCTTTCTGCAGTGAATTTTCTGTCTGACTTGACTGGGAAAGTTATAAGCTTGGCAAGCAAAGCAAGAAAAAAACTTTATATAACTGTAAGTAGCTTTATGTTCTGAGATCTCTTCTTGGTCCTTCCAGACTACCCTGTACATAGATAGCTAAAAATGGTAAAATACAAAATGCAACTGAATTAAATCTGGCATGAGCAAAACATCTGAGAATTTGGGAATACCGACTCAATTTATAAGAGTCCCTTAATTACTAAAGAACACAGATCCAACGGGGTTTATTCTTGTTCAGATAATGTGGCGGAAAAGATGATGACGATAACCGTGAAAGCAATACAAAAAATGTATTAAACAAGAGAAACCATTCTTAAAACTTCTGACTTTTATAAATATTTCAATTAAAAACACTGGCTGCTCTAACGCATTTATTTATTTATACAAGAAAAAAAATACTCTTCAAATGTTTTGACTGACAACCTTCTTCCAAAAAACTAATCTCTCAGAAAGTCAGAACTTATAACAATTGAACCCAAAGACAGACAGGATTTCCTACTGCACGTTTCCAGGACAACTCAGTTGTTTTTTATTACTATTCATATGAAGAAACCACTGCTCTCAAATTTTATTCACAGAAATTACATTCAACCCAAAATTTAATTGTTTACCATATTTACTGTGTATAATTATAATATGAAAGTAATGGTTTCTAATTAACTCTTTCAAGCCTCAGAGACATACGAGAAAAAAATATATATGGCATAGAAAAACTGTTTCCTCTATACCAAACCAGGATAAACTGTATACATTGGTAATGTTATGCTACTCCCACAGACAAGACTCATTCTGAGTTTTCCATAAAATATAAAAGCTAAGAAGCAAAGAAGGCAGGGAGGCAGAGGAGAGAGAAAGTGGTAATGGTAAAACAACTCACATTTGTCTCTCTCAGACAATGAAGTGGTTAGCAGGAGCGAGCTCACAGACCTCCATCAGAAGGCAAGGTACTGAGTTGAGGTTTCAATTGTTGGGAAACTCGCACTGAGATGCCAAGTGGGCAGTGCTACTATGCAGCAGGGGGTGGGGCTGTGGTGAGAGGAGGGAACAGGGAGCAGGAGCACTTACTCGGTTAGAAGCCGGTGCAGCTGGTGATAACCTCGCTCCAAGGCCAAGCTCACAGGCGTCGCCCCTTCCTGGTTGTGGATGCTGAGAGCTCCGCGGCCACCTGGCTTCTGCAACAGGAACCACGTTAACCTCAGCAGTCCCAGCCGCACAGCAAAATGCATCAACGTCTCCCGAGGGCCAGCATCTGTAAATGGGGTAGAAAATGAATCTAAGTGTGGAGCCCACACAAACAAAAAGCAAACAAACAGACAAGTTAGGTAAATACCACTGCCTTCAAGTGCCTAAGATCCTAAAATTAAGCTACAACATATAGCGTGAACGATTTTACTGTGGCCAGGTAGAATCAGCCCTCAAAGAAAGACAAAACAAAGCTACAAAAAAGTATAGAAAGCAAAATTTTCAATAGAAGACAGTACCACAAAAGAGAATCAAGCCATTTCTATATTGTGACAACATACAGTATTTGTTCAACCAATTTCACAGGCAGGCATATAAGGGTGCCCCATACACATGCCCTTTTCCTTTAAAAAAAAAAAAAAAAGAAATAGAAGTGAATGCAGCCCACATAGGGATCCAAGGGAAATAGCTGTTAGGACTTAAATGGGTGTATCATAAAGGGTATAATTACTTTTAAAAAGAACACCCAGACGGGAGTTGGCTAAACACTAAAAACAGGTTTTGCCTGTTAAGTACACAGGTCTTTTTATTTCCCCACAATAAGGGCAAATCAAATTGCTGGCACCACCAGCTTTTTTTGTTTGTTTAATGAGAGAAAGAAATGCATCTCCGGGCATAATAAGACTAACTCTAAGATAATACATTAATAACTACAGAAAGGAAAACATATGCTTGGGCTTAGTTCCCTTGAAATGAAAGCTTCTTGGTATAGTGAGTCACTCCAGAAGTGGAGGAATGAGGAAGGGCTTTGGAATCTAACAAATCTGGGTTCAAATCTGGCATTTACCACGTGTGTGACCAGGCATGATTCATTTAACCTCTCCAAACTTCACTTTCTTCATCCCTAGAGTAAGATACCATCACCTCTCTCACAGTCACTGTAACAAACGGAGAAGAGGTGGGTGAAGTGCTAGCATAATGACGGGCTGAAGTAGGTACTCATTAAGTGACAGTTCCCCTCCCTTTCCCTGCTCTCTTCCCAGTCTTCGTGGACTTCAAATTCTATTCTAGGTTCATTAACACTACTCCATTTCTTCCTCGGCCATCCTCTTGTGCCCAACCCGTGATGACAAGAGCTCAGGCCACTGCAGGGCTGCCATATATGACCATCTACACACACAAGGCTATACACTAGTCGACTCCAGGGAGTGGTGAATGGCACCCTGGAGTTGTGCCTGCCTTCTTCCTGACAGCTTAGCTGTCATCTCGCATTCTTCATGGGTTCCCAAGGGTTTCAACTTCTTCACTGAGCATTCTCAGATTTCTTGGGCCACAGTGTTTTCTCCTTACTTTGAAGTTCTCAGATACTTTTATATGTGAGTATCGCAACAGGAATGAACACATCTTTGAAGCTGTGATTTTATAATGAACTGTATTGTTTCCTAATGTCATCTGTGTATTAGTCTAGTA